AGCGCAGGGCCGTGCCCGTGCACGGGGAGCAGTAACCAGCAGAGGGTAGCAGATGGTCGCAGCCATCCCACCGCAGTTTGGGCAGGGGATGCCCAGAAATCTTCCCTAATCCCACCCTGCTCCTCCTGGGCCTTGCCCCACCACCTCCTCCAGCCCACCTCACGCCCTCTGCCTGGGCGTGCAGCCCCAGCGATGCCTGTCCTGGTCTCCCCATGCCGACACTGCGGATGTCGGTCCCTATCACCCCCTAAGCCGCTCTGAGGAGAACAGTGCAACTTCAGCAGGCAAGCAGCACCAACTGCAAACCCTCAGGGCAACGTCCCTGTCCCAGGACACTGCCCACGCTGTCACCTTGGACATTTGGGGCCGAAAGCTCAGCAGAGACCCACCAGCCTGGAGAAGAGAGGGCTTGGGAGACCAAACTTCAGTTTTCCACTACCTAGAGAAGGGTTGTGGAGAAGGGAGACACGGCAGCGCATGGCAAAAGGACAAGAGGCCATGGGCACAGGTGCCACAAGGGAAACTCTGATGCACATAAGGAAAATAACCTCCTCTGTGTGCACGGTGCATCGATGTGACAAGAACCATAGTGGTGGGACCTTCATCCTTAAAGGCTTTCCAAACTTGATTGGACCCCAGAGGCTCTGATCAACCTGACCTTTGATGCTAGCCCCGCTTTAAGCAGGAGGTTGGACTCAAGACCTCTTTGACCCCGTGAAACCCAAACTCGGCATTTTCTACTGGCTTTGACCAGGACCTCGACGGGGTCCATCACACTTGCGATACGTCGGTACCTCCCCTCTGTCTGACACAACCTCTACACGTATGGGAAAAAGAGACTAAAGAAAGACTTGTTCTGGCTTTATTGACTAAAAAGCGTTGCTGCCTGTGGCACATCCAGCTGAAATTCTGCAGCAGCACAGCATCCACCCCTCGCTCACGGAGAGAGCAGGCAGCTTCCTAACCCCCCACGCCTCCGCAGGGGAGCAGGGCCTCTGCCAGGCAAGGGAGCCAGGTTTCGGTCTCCACACCGAGGGTGGAACGTGAGCCCGCTGCGCTCCAGCTCCTGACCCACTACTGCACCCCTGAGCCTGGGCCGTCTGCTCCGCGCGCCGAGTGCCATCTGCTATCACCTCACCAAATCCCAACCACAAAGCCCAGAGCAATGGGGCCTGGGTCCCAGGCTGGGAAACCTGGGGGGAGGGTTTCTGGAGATGCTTAAAGAGCGTACTCCCCCTCTCAGCTTCCAAAATGTCGTGTAAAAACTGAGGGCGTGATGAACGGGAGAAACTGTTTAAGTTGATAAAGGAGCCCAAATCCTGCCCCACGAAAGGATTTCTGCCTCTGTTGTGCTTCTCAAAACACTACCCATCCCATTTACTCAACCACAAATTTTATAACATTAAAAAAAACCCCAAAACTAAATTCCCTTTGGAGTTCACAACTGTAAGCTGCAGTGAGGCTGATCTTGTGGGTATGTCATACCGGTCAAACGAGAGAATCACAGAAAGCAAGTAAAGAGTTTAGATGAAAATGAATTAACCTGGGAAGCTGCCAAGCTGACGGCTTAATGATCCATGGCGCTGCTAAAAAGCCAGGGAGTAGGTGAAAAGTTGTTAATTATTCAGCACTGCTGGGCACGCCTGTTTGGAGAGGCGCCACTAACAGCACTGATAGGGGTTTCGATAGGGCGTGCACACGTGTTGTGCTACCGACACACCCAGGGTCTGTCCTGGGCCTCCCAGCGTCAAGCGCTGCTGCGGGGATGGTTATCCACCGCCGGAGCGGGGGACAGCTGGCCACAGCTGGGCCGTGTCACACCGCACAGAGCAGTTCCTGCCTTTGTGCTTTAATTGCAAGCCCTGATTGAAAACATTTCCTATCCTCCCTCTACCTCCCGGCCTCCAGCTCTGGTCAGCCAGTGCACCTCTCCAGCCCCAGATGGGAATAAATTCTGCGGCAAGGCCAGGCGTGGGTCAGCTTTGATGTTTATTGCTTGCTCGGTGGCACAGCATGGCACGGCTGAGCTTGCATCCCGGTGGGATGGGCAATGCGGAGCAGGACGTTTCGGGCACACGGGCCTTGCTGCAGATGGGTGCGAGCTGTCTCCCCGCCAGCACCCGCACCAGCAGGACCCGATGGGGACGATGCTGGGACTCCCACAGCTTCAGGGTGCGCTGGGTCAGGGCTGGGAGGAAGGGGCTCGTGCTGCGAAGCAGCGGGTGGTTATTCATGATGGTGAAGATGCTCACTGTGGGTGTGGGAAGGGTCGGGCAGCACAGGCTGGTCTGGACAAGCCCTGAGCGAGCAGAGAGCCCGGCTCCTGGTGCCTCACTGCGAGTGGACAAGCGCCCCGGCACCTTGCCCGAAGCCAAAGCCCTTGGGACCGAAGTTCTTGGCGTAGCAACCTGCAGAGGATGGGAAGGGAGAGACGGGTAAGGCCGGCAGCCGAACACAAGCAGGTCCTCCTCTTGAAGCAGGCACTGCCTAAACAGGACAGCGTTTGCTGTATTTGTCGGGCAAACAGAGCGGCCCCACCCCCCGCGCCCCCGGGCGCGCCCGGCGCAGCCAGCCCCCGTACGCAGCTGCTGGGGCCACCACCTCCCCGAACCTCAGCCCCATCCTGGTTCCCTGCGCAGGGGTTTTCACCCCCTGCCTCCACCCTTCGGAGTGCAGCACAAGCCAGCGGGGAACGTGGCACTCACCTTTGCAGTAGATCTCCCCATCTTTGTCTGCCAGGGTGGTGGACTCCAGGCTTTTGCCGCACTTGGCACAGCGGAAGCAGGACTTGTGCCAGGACTGTGGGACAGGAGCAGAGCCTGGTCAGACAACACCCGGGGACAGGGCAGCAATGCTCTGGCTACCAAACGGGCTCACTTTTCTGTTTCTGACCCAAAGCGGCTGGCAAAGAGGTCTGAATGGGATGAAAGCTTTTCTCTGGGAAGAGCAGTCCTCCCAGCCCCAGGGGGAAGACACAGAGAGGAAACACCAGGTGTGGTCACTGCTGCCATGTTGATCTGGTTTTAGAGAGCTTTTACGCCGACCCGCAGCAGCCATTTGTACAATAATTTCTGCAATAATTTGTAAGGAGCAATCACCCCCCTCTTTGGAGACTGTCCTCTCTGAAGCACCGTGATAAATCCCGCGAGTTACCCAGCTGAGAGCCACTGCTGCTGTACGCTAGCCTGGGGGGTGGCAGCAGGGTTGGGGCACCTGCCCCGACACAACCACAGCTCCAAGGAAGGCAGCAAACAGATAGGAAGAATGCAGAAATCAGCCAGCGTTTAAAAATAAAACTCCCCCCACGACTCTGCCAGCCCTCTGGGGATAGATGAGCTCACAGCCTTTGAGCGACCTAGGGTAGCCAGAGCTGCTCACGGAGGAATTTAAATAAACACTCTGGAAAACATGAAACCTTTTTTGGAAGAAAATGTGAAATTAGCGGACTGGAGGAGGAGGCAGCACATGGAGTCATCCAGCAAACATTAGCACATGAAATACATGCTCTGGAATCCTCTCTGGGTTTGCTTGAGTGTAATTGCTTTGCCAGCTCCGGTTCCCCGTAAACATCCCTCCAGAAGCCTACCAGGAAGCTCAGCTCATGATTTTTAAAGGTAAGTTTGGCTTCTGACCCTGGGCTGACCCTCAACGTGTCCATCACATCCCTGCACTCCGGCTAGGCTATGATAATGCCAGGAGGCTCTTTCTGCTGACTCGATGCCTCCTTTCCTTGCTCTGGGGACAGAGGGCAAACACAGAAACCCCAGGGAGGACGGAGTGCAGCAGGGGTGACCCAGCGTCACCGGTGAGGCTTTCCCAGCACGGCCATCGCGTCCCCTGCGGCACAAAGCCAAGCAGCCTGACCCCGCTGCCTTGGCCAGCTCTGCACGAGTACCCGGCCGCGGAGGGAAGGCTGCTCCAAGGCAGGGACCGCACCCAGGGTCCCAGGGCTGACAGAGCAGAAGGCGTCCCCATGCCCTGCTAAGGCTTCCCAGAGCTGGGCCAGGATAAGGCCACAGCTCGGGACACAGAGGAGCCTGGTGAAGTGATGAACTTGACATAGGAAGTACCAGGGCTGTTGCAGAGCGTCCTTTACATCTGACCCTGAGCAGACCCAGTCCACCAGCAGAACAGCCCACGAGAGATGCACCGAGCCTGTGCCCACACCTCCAACCACCCTGCCCTGCCTATGGGCAGCGCTGACCACTGGAATTCATTCCCTGCCCGGAATTTGGGCTGCGGCATCCCAGCCTGTGGCAGAAGGTGGAGAAGGCTCGCTGGACGTTGCACTTGTTCAATTAGCGGTGGCAGTGGCCATGGCCACATCACTGCTCATCCTCCCAACACATCTAGCAGCAGGGACGTCCACTGTGACCTCTGCTGAGCACTGCTCTGAATATTTAGCATAAAATGCATTTCTCTCCCATCTACAAGTCTGTAAGAGTGATGCAGACTGGAGAACCTGGTTTCCAGGCATGCCCAGCTCTCCTTTTGGTGCCAGGCTTCCAGGTGAGCACAGCCACTGGACCCCAAGCCCAGCCCTGGCTGGAGGCGGTGGGCAGCCCAGCCTGCAGCAGCCCATGGGTCGGGTCAAGACCTTCTCTGAAGGTCTCCCTGCCACACAGCAACTTGTGGGGTCCACCCCCCCGACCCTTTCTTACCTTTCCAGCTCCAATCACCTTCTCTGCTGCATACACCGCTTGACCACAGCGAGGGCACCCATCAGAACCTCCGACTTTCTGGGCCATTCTGGATGCGTTAGGGTTGGTGGGTCGGTGGGGCTGGCCCCTGTGGGTGGGAGGGAGGTCATTATCATGGCTGCACAAGCAGGATGGAGGAAGGAAGAGCTAAGGGATCACAAATCCCAGCCCCGTTTTGAGGGGCCCGGAGCTTTAGGCACAATGTGTTGAGCCCTCACGGCTGCATGCTAGGAGGGGATGGGCAGCATGCTCAGGCAATGGGGACACGTCCCATCAAGCCCCATCCCACCCTGCAAACAGGGTTCAGGGGGTCTCCCCCCAAGGAGCAGAAAGGCAGGGCAGCCCACAGCACCGTCCAGATTAGGAACTGCTGGAAGTTCAGCACGGGCTACACAGTCAAGCATCGCAAGCGGACAGATGTGGGGGAGAAGGTGCCCACAACAGCCCCAGTTTCGAAAACAAGCGTTAAACTCACTCTTCATATTTGATTCCCAGAGACTCGCCCTTGTCAGTGCTCAGGGTCCCTGCTCCCTGCCCGTAGCCATAGCCCTTGGGGCCATACTTCTTGCCGTAGCAGGACTTGCAGTAGATCTCCTCTCCATGCACAGCAACAGTGGTGCTGTCCAAGTTCTTCTTACAGACCACTAGAAAAGAAGGGATGGTCGTGCCATTAGCCTGCGCATCCAGAGCTCGCTAATGAGCTGGAGAAAACAAGTCCTCACCCAGGGACAGTACAGCTCAGCTTTCAAGGAGCAAGGAAACCTGAGACAAGATCCTCCTTAAACGGAGTACATGGAAAACAGCCAGAGATAAGGATCACAACAAGAACATTGTCTGGCTTTAAAAGGAAGCAACCACCAAAGCTACAAGGTTGACACTAACCTCTTGATGCTGGTATCCTGGAGATGCACTTAACCCGGCGGGGGGTGGGGGGTGTTTAAATTCCCCTACAAATCACTGCGGGATTCACAAGCACAGGGATGGACATGCCCCACAGCAGCTCTGCCACACTCCTAGTCCACTGCAAATACGCAGCGATAGGCACTTGGGGGAAAGTAATGTAAGCAAATCTATTTTTCCTCGTGTTTAGACAGACTAAAAGCAGACCAGCAGCCATTTCCACAGCTGACGCACTGTAAATTTTTTGGCACATTACACTATTGCGCACAGTTGACTCTCCAGACTGCAAGACCACGACAGATGTTCATGCTAACCTGTGTCACCCCTGGTCCGTGACACGATTACAGTGTGTGCATAGGGCGGTCTCAGCTGAGGACGGCTAACTCAGCTGGGTGTTCGTGCCTTGGGGATCAATATGAGACATAAGATGGGACAGGAGGAGACAGCAGCCAGGCTTGGGGTCCCAGCTGAGCCCATCCAGAGCTCGAGCTTGGTGCTGGGCTCAGGCCACACAGACTCTTCTCCTGATTTTTAGGTTTTCCTGACTTGCGTCCTAGCTCTGATCTCAGCCTCCATGTCAGCTTCCAAACCCCTCCTGGAACACGCCGCCCAGCGCCAAGGCTCCCAGCGGGCCGTTGGCCTCTTCGCCAGCAGAACAGCTTCTTGGCCTTTACCATGAATGCAAACACAGCAGAGCTCTCTTGGAGCAGCGCAAACCACGGCACTAAATGCGGGGGTGAGAGGCAGCCTTCCTCAGCCCAATTACTAAATATGGTGCTTCTCCTCCGGGGCTGCAGAGAACCCCGTGTGCTGCTGCTGGGAGAAGGAGGTGGAAAGGGAAGCATCTCCTGCCACCTCAGGGGACCTGGCAGGGTCCTCCCCCAGCTACAGGCTCCGCTGTCCCACCACGGCAGGGCAGGGGATGAGTCCCTGTTGAGAAAGGCCAGCTCTGGTAAACCGGTCCCGTAGCTGCCAAGCTAAGGGCTTGGTGCTGGGGTTGTCTCTGCATTACGCTGGAGCTCATCAGGAGAAACGCTGCATTCAGACCCCCCAGGCGGGTGTGGGCACTTTTACTGGCGGGTTTAAAGAGCTTTGTCCTAGGGGTGGGAGTGAATGATCTCAATGGCATCTGTCCTTCTCTCCCACCCTGCTGGGTGGATTTAGAGCTCTAACCTAAGCTTTCACAGTCTCTCATCTGCATGAGCCACAGCAGCTTTGAGAGGCAGCAGAAAAATTCTTTCCCAGTCTGCTTCCTAGAAATCAGCCTCCAGCTCCCGGGTTTCTGCATTGCAGAAATTCCAGCGCACCGCACTCACCGAGTTAAGGACCCTTTGTTTTTCTAAGAGCAGCAGAGTTGTTCCACAAAACAATTAGACCAGAGCTGCTGGTACTTTCAGAGGCCAAATGGCCTCATTACAGTACATTTCTGCCGCGTACTATTGACTCAGTTGGATGGATGCCACTGAGTCAATCACCAAGTCACTCCCTGAGCCGATCTCCAGTTCTAGTGCACTGTGGTAGGTTTGGCTCCTTTTGATTATTTTTTCTGGCAGATCAGGTCAAAGTATTTGTTTTTCTCCCCTAAAGATAATGGCTTCAAGTTCCCTGAAGAGGCCCAAACGCAGCACTGGGGAACGGGCAGGGAACACAGGAGCTCGGTGCAGCTCAGCATCACCCACAGCCTGTGGCACAGGACCGGGAGCAGCAGGCAGCACTGCGGGCTGGCATGCAAGCCACGGCCTGAACTGGGGAGCCCACAGCCGGGACAGGCAGAACTGCTGGGGTACGTGCAGAGTGTGATCACGTACGTCTGCAAAGCACGGGGGCAGGAACCCCGGCTGTAGTTGGCTCTGGACCGCTCCCTGGTGACTTGCTTCCACGAGCAGACATGGGATGACCTTCTTCCCCGCTTTGGGTATTCCCTTCTTGAAGCAGGGATGAATCATGCCTTTTGCCTGATTTCATGGCTCTTGGAGGCCTGCCCCACACCCTGGGTGCCAGCATTGCACAGCAGAAGCTTTCCCTAAGCAATCCACCTCTGTGCACAGGGGTTGTGGAGAAGGGCAGATGCAGTGCAACGCAGTCTTAGTCCCCATACTGAGGTCCTACATTGACATGGACTCAAACGGCAAAAGCCAGTGGTGGGGGGGAGATGAGGGCAACATTCCCCACCCGCCTTATCTGAGGCTGCAGAAAAAACACAAACTTCCTGCTGCAGAGAGCAGCCGCAATAAGGACACAGCCTGCCACTCCCCTGCCCGCCCGGGGAAAGCCTCTCTGCAACTTCCCTTCTTAGTCCTTTCAAGCCAAAGCAAGGTTTCCAGCCTGGAAACTCCCACGTACAAGAGCTACCGGCCGTGCTGGCCACTCTTCACACTGCGCAGGGAGCAGGGACGCGGCAGCAGCCTCCCTCACATCTGCATCCATCTGTGCACGCTGCGTCCCAGGCAGGCTGGCCAAGAAGTATCCAGTATCCATGCCAGTGGACACGGGAGCACGGCAGGGATCAGCCCCATGAGGACACTGGTATTTCCCTGCTGGAATACATCTACTGAGATTAGTTCTAGCTGTGGGCCTGTTTATAGACCCTAGCTCTGCTTGCTACCCCTGTGGAAAAGATCACATCTGTGCTCCTTGCTGCAACAGGATGGTGCGACTGGGAACAGGGTACAGGGACCAGCTGAGAAATGTTAAACCTCAGTGGGACCTGGGCAGCTCTGAAGACACACTTCTACTCCTGCTGCTCTACGTTAGATGCAATGTGTTGATGAGCCATCAGCGGACACAGGCAACACGCACACTCCTGTTAGCACATGAGAATCACCAGTTCTGTTATGTGATAGTCTTCAAGGGCAGGGGACAGAAACCTGGTAAAACACAGGCTGAGGACAGCGGTCATCTTTTTATTCAAAGGTCCTGCAGCCCCCCTGGCTGCGGATGCCCCAGGTTTAAGGAGCTGCTCTCAGCAACGTGACCACTGTCCCCGCACTGCTGCCCTGGTACCCCAAAGGGACAGGAAGGGTGCCTGGGGACCCGCAGCGTGAACCCGAGAGGACTTGCAGGATGCTGCAGAGCAGGCAGAGGAGGGGACCTCTGCCCTGAGTCAATCCACGGCCAGACCCTGTCCTGCTGCCCTTCCCTGGAGGTGACGCTTGGGTCCAAACACACAGCAGAGACACCCTCCACAATAGCACGTTTCCAGGCAGGCCAGAGGTGACGTGTTAGCACTTCGCAGTAGGCCTTCCATCAGCAGAAGGGCCAGAACGGGACCACGCCTTCTTCCCGTCATCTCCTGGGACACGGGGGCAGATCCCATGCCAGTTCCCAAGGCCCAACCACCTTTTTAGTGTGGCAAAGCCACCTAGAAGTCTAAAGCTAGCATCACCTCAGAGCATTGCATGGGATGTGCCACCTCCTGCCACCATTGTTTGGGAAGTCCCTGTCTCACGCTCCAATCTTAAACATCTGGAGACAGTCTAGAGGACTCGGCCTAGCCCTCCCCCAGCGCAGGGACAGGCTAAGCCTTTGCGTGGGTGCTGGCTGAGGTCAGCCCTGACGGCTTGGACGGCCCCTGCTGTCCTGGGATGATCTGTGTTCCTTCAGCAGAACTAACTTCCAAGTCTGGAGAAAAGCAGAAAGCCGGCCGCACGGCTCCCGCAGCAGGGCTGTGCGCAGAGAAATCCTGAGGAGCGTTTACACAGCCCATAAACAGGACATGGTGGGGCGCCCAGCCGGCGGAGAGCCGGGAAGCAGGGCGGGAGGGGCGCGGGCAGGGCTAGTACTCACTGCACAAGAAGCAGGACTTGTGGAAGCTGCTGCCTTCACATTGCACCTCCTCGGCAAAGTACACTGCCTTCTGGCACACGCCACACTTCTTTCCTCCTCCCCAGTTTGGCATCCTGCAGAAAAAGCACAGGCAGAACCGGTGTCAGGGCGGGAGCTCAGGCAGGGCAGGAGGCGGGGATGGGGCAGAGCAAGGCCGCCGGAGCGGGCACCCGCCAACAGCGCTCCAGCAGCCGTTCCACATCCGCACATGCGGAGACCACCCACAGGTGTCTGCTGTTTGCACAGATTCACACAGCTGGTCGTTAGCAGAACTCAGGATGCCCACGGGACCCATCGCTACAGCACCCAGCAGTATCAGCTGCCTCCTAGGGACCACTGGTCCTGCCAGCCAGGAACAGCAGAAATCCCCCTGTCCTGGAAGCTGTGGGACCTCACAGCTCCTTTCTGTGCCAGGAAAAGGGAGGAAGCAGGACAACGATGAGAGACGGCGCTCACAGAGGTACCCACAGCGCCGGCACCTCATTAGATCACAGCCCTGCTACTACCCCTCGAGAGGGCAACGCAGCAATAGCCAGGGTGACTGATCCTTGGTGCTGGAGAGTGTACAGGTTGTCACCCCGCTGGAAACAGTTCCAGCTCCTTCTCCCTGCACCACTCTTCCACTTCTACCACGACAGGGCAGGGATATAGTCCAGGTTGCCCAAGGGGCAGGAGCTGACCCCTGATAGCACCAAACACAGCAGGCTCTGGCAAAGCATTCCCCACAGCATCACTAGCTTGTGCCTTGCCTGCTCACACGTCCCCCGTGCTCAGGTATCTCAGTCTCCTCCAGGACTGCAGGTAGCATCACAGAGGCTGGGAAATCAGCAGCCCCAGGGACACAAGCTCACATGCAGGGCAAACACTGAGCACCAGCCTAACCTACCATGCAGCTCCTTGGCAGGACATAAATGCTTCTATTTCTCTCTCCTCTTTCCTGAAACGTATCTGATGAAACATGATCAAGAGGCCCCTTGATCTGCAAATTTGCAGATAACCCCAAAATACTGTGAGCAGCTACGCAAGTAGCAGAGCTCCAACCCAGAGGGGCCTTGATACTTTTGAAGACCAGGCCAATATAAACCTCAAGGTATTCAAGCAACAAAGTCCTACAAGGAGATGCTGAGGGAGACAGGCTGGTTGACTGTGGCCAAGAGGAGGCTAAGGAGGATCTAACAGCAACCTATGGTTGCTACAAAGACAACAAAACACTTTTTGGTGGTGCCCAATGATATCAGAAAGGTCAACGGGCACAGCTCAGCTTGGGAGGTCTCTAGAGGCCTCTCTCCATCAACACTTCTGTGATTCTCCATCCTGTTCCTGCATGGGGACAAGCAGCAGAAGTCACCCTCCCTGCTGCAGGCACAGCTGTGTGCTTCCAACTCCTGAACCACTAAAGCAGCAGGACAAGGTCCCCAAAACCAAACACCATTTTCACACGACACCGTGTGCCCCCCCACAGCATGCGCGGGATCTCATCACCTCCCTTGGCTCAGCTGCACGGCTACGAGGAAGGGGATCTGGGTGTGCCGGGGCACAGCGGGGGCACAGCCTCTGAGCCTGCTCCTTGCAGCGGCTCCAAGTCCCTGGGTCACCTCGGGCAGCCGAGGCCCCATTGCCGGGTCTCCAGTCCCCCACCCAACGGCTGAGCCAGCGGCACTGCCCTGCCCGGCAGGCGGCTGGGGAGGTGGATGCTCAACACGGCAGGACTGGGGGCCACGCAAACGTCAGATGGAGCGATGAGGGAGGACGAAGCTCTGCAAACCCTCTGCTCACAGGCACAGCGAGACCTCTGCACCTTCCAGTATATGCGGCAGTTGAGCTCTTCCCTGCATGCGAGCATTTGGTCAGGCAGTGGAAGAGGGAAGTTGATCTCAGCCTGGTTATACGGGCAGGCAGGGCGCGGGTCAGGGCACGCTGAGGCTGCGCAGAGGCGCTGGCCCTGCTCTAGCCCGGCTGCAGCTCCCGGCTCTTGGATGCACGGAGGGTCTCGGCACAGGACAGACGGAGCTGTGCAGGGTGCCGGGAGCAGGGGCCGGAGGGGAGGCTGTGCCGGCTCCAGGGACCCCAAGAGCTGTGTTTGGGGTGTGATCCCAGCAGCCGGGAAGTCTCTTTTCCGAACACCCCGCAGGCTGGGCTTCCCTCCACTGCGCAGACTGCGCCAAATCCCTCCCTTCCAGTCTGACCATTCCAGTCCCAGCCTTTGCATTGCCTTAAAAGGACACAAACGGTTTCTCCCCAGAGCCTGTTTTTTCCCCCTGCACCAGGAGGAGGGCCTGACCTGGTTCAGGAGTTTCCTTGGAGGGCAGAAACATCCAGCAGCACCCCCCTGCCAGCCCAGGCAGCAGAGATGCCCGCGCCCGCACGGCGTAGGAGCCCACTGGTCCCTTTGCCACCCGCGCCCACCTGTGTCGGACCCCTCACCAGGAATAACACGACTCTGGATACAGTTTGTCTGGGTGCCCCATCCCTTTCCACACACGCCAGCTGGCAGAGCCCGTCTCTGGGACCCACCGGCCTTGATTTTGGTGGGCGGCCTCGTGCAGGCAGCCCCCTGCCCCGGTATTCCTGCCTCGGTACTCCTGCCGTCGCTCCCTGCTCCACAGCCTCCCCTTTGCCTCCACGGCACATTTTTTTCCCCTCTACAGCAGCAGCGAAGGAAGAGGCTCTGTTTGTCCTCAACAGCAGGGTTCAGCTGCCCAAACTGAGACATGGGCAGTGGTGACACCTCCTCTCTGCTGCCTGCAAGTCTATGGGGGAGAGAAGGTGCTTCTGGGTGAAGCTCATCTGATGTTTGCCACAGGAGATCAAGACCTTTTGCTGCTTATTTTCCTCCATCCACCATGGGAAAGTTGCAGGTGCCTCCACGCAGTTTAAACAACTTCACTGTGATTTTGGCAGGGGACTCCCGCCATGAAGCACCCAGCAGCACAGATGCAGCCCCAGCAAAGCCACATCCCAGCAAGACCTCCTGGCACTCGCCGGGATGGATTTTTTTATGGGGAGGGACCATCAAAATAATTTTGTCCTGGGGATACATGGGCTTGTGATAGCTCACAGCCGGGCACAGAGAAAGCCTGAGATAAGATTTAAGTTGCAGGGAATTCTGTTGTAGCCCACAACATACGCAGGCACATGCTGAGAGCCCGGCAGGCCACATGAGACCCCAAAAAGCAGTTTATGCTACAGGTCAGCATCAGCAGGGAAAAAAAAAAAAAAGAATAGGAGCATCCTGCTTATGGAGCCTGGGACCTGCACCAGCCATCTCAGAAGCAAACTCCTTACAACAGCCATCTAGACAGACCCATCATCCCAAATCCCTAGTTAATGACGACTTTAAGACACATCACAGGGTTTGCAACCTTTTTGACATTTTTCAGAGTACTTTGCACCGTGGAGCTGAGCACCATATTCTGTCCAATTGCAACACGTACTGACCGCAGTCACACTTCTCCAAGTCACTATTAGACCCATGCAGAATGAGGAACAGGAGGTGACCGTTCTGCAGCCAAAGATCTCGCTGAGCACAGGCAAGAGAGACACCCAGGGCTGCCAAAAACTGAGGTTATTTTCCTCCCTCCTGCAGCTCCGCATCCCATGTACCACAGCGTCGCAGCAAACACAACCAGAGCCCTACAGACAGCATCATCTGTGCCAAGCATGCCTCAGCCCCGGAGATGGTCCATCATCTGCTCTGGATAAGGCAAGGGGCCTCAAAAAACAAGATCTCAACAGCTGCCTTGCTGGGAAGCACAGGCACAAGTGAGGCTTGCGCAGAACCACACAAGTCTGACACTTTTTGGAGATCAACTCTGATTTCAGTGTCTGGCGCCTGACACTGCAGCAGTGCCGTTCACCGGCTCAAGCGTAAGCTACAGACTCACTCACGTTTCAGATCAGCTTGTGTTGCACCAGTTTGGGAGGCAGTCTAAGCTACACTAAACAACGAGGCATAAACCAGTATGGAACCAGTACATCCTGGTGCTTTGGGATGTCACCTAACCCTGAGCTGCAAGGGAAAGCAGTGAGCAGATGAAGCCAAGCCATCAGGCACACGGCCACCCCCTCCTTACAGTGGGCTGAGGGATCAGCATGCTCGTGTCACTCCCACCAAAGCTGACAAACCACTGTCCTACCTGCCTGAGAGCAGCTGGTTTTTAACTGCTGGAGCTAAAGCAGCACCCGCTGCCGTGCGAACACAGCTTCCCTACGACAGGAGCACTCAGAGCAGTGCAGGTTCTCCTCCTTTGCCCTCTAATGAGCTTTACCTGCAGCCACTGGGATGTCAGCGCAACCGTTTGCGTTTCTGCAATAGCTGGAAAACCTTTCCCATGTATGTGCCCAGATGTTCTACTAAAATCCCACAGCAATTAATTCCAGAGCAATCACTTTGTGCTTGGAGGAGATCACTGAGGAACAGGAGACTCATGCTGGCCCATGTAAGAGGTTCTTTTTTTTCCCCCCAAAGGGAGTGTTAATACAAGTGGATGGCAGAAAAGCACCATTAGTGCTGCACAAAATTCACTCCTAACGATGTTCACAGCAGTCCACGCAGGATTATTACATGGCCTGGCACAGGGACAAATCAAAGGGGAGGAAACCATAGCAGGAGCCCCAAGCCCTGGGGTCCAATTATCGCCTTCCAGTTTAGAGAGCAGCTGGCACAGCCGTGAAACGAGCAGAAATTTGAAGAAGGAAGCACCAGACAGATGAGGCGTGCGGGCAGAGCAGAAAGGGACCAGCTCATGGAGATACATGTAACACCACGGGGGAAATCACCAGGACAGAGCATCAGGGGTTCAGCACCCGCAGCTGCGGTCGGGCCCGAGGGGGACTCTGCCCCAGACAAATGGCAACTGTCATGGAGCAGCCTTCACAGCGCCTGGGCATGAGCGCCCTACAAAAGGCAAGTGAGAACTGTCCCCCCTGCCCTGCAATCAGCTGGGTGGGGCAGCGACAGGAGACTCAGGGCTGCCAACAGTGTAATAAAGGAAGGTCATTTGTGATAGTGATGTCGAACCGGTGAGCAAGAGGAGAATGGGGTCCTGAGGCTGGTGAGCACTGGACGTGACAG